TGCAGTTAAAGGTGCCCAGGAGGAGTTCAAGGTTGTGTGGCTCTTGATAAGGAGTGGGGTCTGGGTGAAGGCAATTTTCTGTGGAGAAAACATTTCCAGCTGCTACGAAGTCCATAAGCATGGAAAGTGAAGGGCTGTTGCACGTGGAAGAGATGCATGTAAATTAGAAATATACCAAATCACTTCATTCGCTTTTATCCCTAGAATGAAATGAGCCTGCATGTCATTGTGGGGCTTTGTTAAATTACAATAGAAAAACGTTGAGTGAGCATTTCGATGAATACGTTAGGATTATAGCATATATTATACAAATGCAAATTTGTGTTGCCTCATTTAAAACATCTTGCATAATTTGTGTCGTGTGCATATATTTCATACAGTCCACATGCCCAGTTAATTTGAAACACATAGTTTGTTCAAAAATACACATTGATGCAAAGTGATAAGTACAATAAAAATGGTTTTGTTACGCCGTTAAGTTTAGCGCTGCCCTCGCTACAGCGTTCCGCTGATGCCTTGTTCTTCATGTTCATGTAAACCACGTATTGAATGCGTAATTCACCATTAATGGCCGCACTTGAGAAAGTTATTGGCATAAAAACTGCGGTAAAGAAAGTATTAATTGTAATTTAATTATTTGTATTGCAATCAATTTTTGATGATCACTCTATAAATATAAAAGAAGATATGGTAATGGAGGGAGGGTAGCCCAGATAATGAGAAAAGCATGTAAATAGGGCAATAATACAAAACATATGTAGAGGGAAATGAGGCTATAATACGAAACAAATGTAGATTTGGCTATGGAAACGTATTTATGTTTTAACTATGGTAGAATGCGGGGGAAAGACATTGAATGTGCCATCGACTTGTATTTTATTGAAGTAATCGTTCAGCGCGTCGCGGGTGAGGAGCACCTAATACAATGGAAGCGGTTCGAATGAGTATTGAAATTGCTATTTTTTCGTGAAACATTTTGGCAAGGAGGGTTAACCCGCAACCGGGATAATCCACCCTCGGATGATCGACAGTGTAACTGCCACCGGTGTATGTAGACATTTCAATCCACACCTTCCCCAGTCAGGCTGACCTTACCTGTTCAGCTGTAACTCTGTGTTTATGGAACGCTCCCGCTCCTCCTGCACTCCCCCATGATGCCCTCCTGACGCTGCGGGAGGACTCGTGTTGGACGGAACGTCCCGGCTTCTCGGCATGCATGCATGCAGACAGGCAGACAGGCATATTGACCCTGAGGGTAAAAGGCATGGGTGTCAGAACTGCCCTTGGGCTCGCGCGTCTTGACGCCACGCTCCGAGATCGGCAAAGCAGTGCGTGTTGAGTCTCCGTTCTGGGTGAACTGACAAGGTTTATTGACTTACGATATGGCTTGCTCTTTAAAGACAGCAATTAGTGGGGTGATGATGGAATCTTCTATTGACAGTGGAATATCATCGGTGTGCTTTCACATGAGTATCATGGCTTTCGTGGTCGCTTTCATCGGCCGACTCGGCTTAGCTGTTGACATATGTTATGCAGGTCTAAGTGCGATGGCGTAACCCTTCATAAATGAGAAGTTTTGTTGGAAAATATCCTCTTGACTGACACTCATAAGATGTACGAATGTTGTGAATGGATGTCAGAGAATTGCAGTTCATTGCTTTTGATATCAGAATTCAGTCGTTTACAGAAATTCGTGAAATATTTCACGATCATAGAAGAAAAAAAATATCTTTTCAGTTTACAGCAGTGACCAATATCACCCATAATACAGGTTTTTTTGGGTTTGAGCGCGCAAACATAAATGTGTCGTCAAAGCCGCCACCACCCGACACAGCCAACTAGTAAGGCTTGTCACGTAAAGAGATCGTGCCACGTTGTTACTAGTACAGCACACCAGTTTGTTGGAGAGCAAGTCCACAACATTTACGATCTGAGTACGACGTTTCGCCAGTACAGCACATGATGTGTCCTCGTACAGCACACATGATTGTTGCCGTACTAGTGACGAGATGGCACGATCTGTTTACGTACGTGACAAGCCTTACTAGTCGGCTGTGTCAGGTGGTGGTGGGTTTGTCGACACATTTAGGTTTGCCTGACCTAACTAAAAAAAAACCTGTATTATGAAGTTTTCAGCATATAAACACCCATGATTGACTGAAAACATATTGATACTAGCAGGAAGTATCTGGCATTGCCCGGGTCTTAAAAATATTTCAAAGCTACTCTTAAAGATGTAACAGCAGTGCATACTGACTGTGGTGGTACCTGCTATGATGACAGCAGTGCATACTGTGGTGGTACCTGCTTTCACTACAGCAGTCCATACTGTGTTGGTACCTGCTATGATTACAGCAGTGCATACCGACTGTGCTGGTATCTCTTATCACGACAGTAGCACCTGGCTATTTTTTTTCACATGAACCCCACCGTTGGAGAGCCAGGCGAGCGACCACAAACAAACCCACAATTTTGGACTTTTATATGTAGAAAAGAAAAAGATAGATATCGAGAACCCGTGAAGCTTGGGCCACTGTTGTCACCAGCTCACTCACCTGGCTGCTGCATTGCCGCTCGTCCGTGTAGTGCCTCCTCGCGCCTCCGAGTTGCTCTCTCTCTTCGAGAGAGAATACTCTGCGATGGTTACACATTATAATAATAATATAATTTGATATTATTGTTAGAAGAAAACCTAAAAGCACGTGAAACACCATACATTGTTGTAATATTTCAAAAAGACATTTAATATTTTGTTTCTTTGTAAAATTATTTTCATTTTCGCCCTCGATGTGACGTGTATCAACTGGATACTTTGTGCCATGAAATCTTGTGATTCGCTGACGCTTAGTCCAAAGGCCTTCTCACGTGCGTGGCTCTATACTATAGATTGTTGTTGTTCCCAAGTATCATACGCAGCCGCAGCTTCGTGTTGAACCGGAAAGCAGCGGATGCTTTAAGTGAATCGATTGTACAAAGCCCAGTTCTTGCTTTCAAACGAGATTCCATTCCAACAGGTTCTCACTGGGTTATAAAAAAACAAGTTAATGTATAGATGCGGTTTACATTCTTTGGTTTTCTAAAATATGCTGACAAGGACATCGGGCAATATAAGCCCTAAGAGTGAAGCAGCAGACATCAAAAAGGTGGAACAAAAGTTTAAAGGCTGAGTTTGTATTGTGGACTATTCTGTACAATACTCCGTTGACACAACTGCAGTGGCAAGGCAGCGACACGACGTTTCTGACTCTTAATAACGGTGACATTTTTTATTTACAGTGCTCGTGGTTGCGTTGTCAGTCAAACGTGCACATACACGTGTATTTGGTATTTCTCACACCTCCAATTAGCACAGTTGGCTATGTATGATGCATACGTTCAAGAAAACAGTTTTGTCTTCAATTGGAAGTAGCTTAAGTGGCATTGACTATGATGCTTATTTTATGTTTTAAGTCTTATAAACAGCTGCTTTACCATGGTGTAAAAAAACGTGCATCCGAAATGGCAACAGAGTTTTAAAATAGTGTTATTTCTTCGTTTCATTTCTTTTCTCATCCACAATTCGTGTTGTGTATGTGAACTACCGGGACTCAAAGCCTGTCTGTTATCTGTGGATCCGTGGGCGAGCGAGCTCCTGGGTTAAAACTAAAATATATGAACAACATGCTGTGGTATGGGGGTCCTGAAACGCCCCCTTTCTTCCTGGTGGTGTGGGGACAGCGTGGTGTGTCCAGGCAGTAGTTGAAGTTGATTTTGTTGAACCAGGTGAGCACTCAAGAGACCAGGATGGAGTCTCATTTGCAAGACTGACCGGGGGGGGGGGGGGGGGGGGGGGTCACTAACATGGACAAAGCAAAACAAACTAAATAAAGTACAGCAATGAAGAAAACAGAAATCAGAACATAAACAACCGTGTCACATTAGAAATCAAAAGCAATGGACAAACCACAAATCATTGCCAGATCGTAACGTTGTGCAGATGAAACCTGCACTTCAAGTAAAATTACACATTAAGTTACAGAAAACTCTAACCAGTCTAACGTGTTCTTGGTTCTTTCGGTAAAATCACGTAGAAGGGAAGTAATAAATAATAAACATAAAACATAATAAAATAATTCTCACGACGTTTCGGCCACAACACAAGTAGCCGTCCACAGGTGAAGACAGGTCTGAGGACGGCTACTTGTGTTGTGGCCGAAACGTCGTGAGAATTATTTTATTATGTTTTATTTTTATTATTTTATTACTTCCCTACTACGTGACTTTACCGAAAGAACCAAGAAGACGAATCCCTGCAGTCACGAAAGCTTTAACTCGAGATACAGTCTAACGTGACCATTTTACTCAACATGCAAACAGACAACGGTGCATGTTTGCCTGTACCGTACATATCATTACTGTGATCTCACACGGTAATGAAACTTAGAAAAGGACAGAGAGCTGCCTTGTGTTCAAACTGCACGCTGCTCAGTCATCAGGGCTAAACGAAGTGTAATCTTTAACTAAGAACACAAACAAGGTGGGTTATTAAGTCTGAAATCCCCTTCCTCCTTTTAAGACCGTGCACCTCACTGGTATACATTGGCATACATAGTACATTTGCTTTCTGAGTAAAAATTAAGCAGAAACTGATAAACAAATGTGAGTCAAACTTGATGAGAATAAAAGTAATTAACGTCCCTTTATCATATTTTGACTTTAAACTTTCGTGACTGCAGGAACTCATATTCTTGGTTCTTTCGGTAAAGTCACGTAGATAGAAAACCAAAAATATATTTTTTATAAAAAATAAAAATGTCCCTTTATCAATCTACTGCTTTCGATGGGGGTGTCGCATGGGTCTTGCCACAGTGAGAAGACGAGGAGCCATGTGACACTGCAATGAGTTGAGAATAGAGGGGGCCGATGCTCGGTGCACACACAGCTGGCAATGCGTACGATTCTACTCGGAATAGACGCAATTAACGAGGGACCGTATGTGGATGTTTATTCCCCTCCGGCAGGAGTCCCAGCGCTGTTTGCGCACAGACAAAGCCGGCCACTCCGCTCACGACGGAGCAGGCGGGGGACCGCAAGCCGCCCCCCTCCACGGCCCTGTGGGGGGCCGAGGGAGGGGGTGCCGGGGATCCCGCGGATTCCGGGGAGGCCGTTGCGGGTGGTGGTGGCGGCGTGGCGGCAGGACTGGCGCCCAGCCCCCAGAGCGAGGCCGTCACCAGCGAATTCCGCGAGCTCTCGCTCACACCTGCCCGCAGGATGATGATGACGCTCAACGAGCGCCGCAACGGTGAGTGGTGCCCCCCCCCCCCCCCCCCTGTGCGCTTGGCGTCCTCGCGTTGTTTAATGAATGATAGCATTACGAACTGACTTTATAACTTTTTCTATTTTTCTTCTTGGTTCTTTCGGTAAAGTCACATAGAAGGGAAGTAATAAAATAAAAAAAATAAAACATAATAAAACAATTGTCACGACGTTTCGGCCATAACGCAAGCAGCCGTCCTCAGGTGAAGAACATGAGGACGGCCGCTTGCGTTGTGGCCGAAACGTCGTGAGAATTGTTTTATTATGTTTTATTTTTATTATTTTATTACTTCCCTACTACGTGACTTTACCGAAAGAACCAAGAAGATGAATCCCTGCAGTCACGAAAGCTTTAAATCGAAAATTTTCTATTTTACTAAATAAAGCCCACAAAGCATATTGTATCTCTTTTCAGAGACGACATTGCCACACGTGATTGCTCTTCGAAGTGGCTGATGTCATCATCATCATCACACATGCGTATCTGTAGTTGCAGCGAAATTGTCTAAACGTGTGTTTCTAAATGTGGAGTGCAACTCAAGGGCCTGGAGAAAAATGTACCCAGTTATTACTGTTAAAGTTGGTTTTAATAGAGTCGAGATAGCTTTGCAGATTCAATAAACAAATAAATGCTTGCTACCAATCATTGATTTGTTTTCCATAAATACAAGAAGGGGCATGTTAAATAAACACGTATGGGGCTGTGCAATGCCTGAAATAAGTTAATATTTTGCTGAATATTGACGTGTTTGAAACTGGGTGTTTGAAACTGGAGTGGAACACTGCTTCCGCTCCCAGCTGGTGGTGTCACCAGATCAAATTAGCGCAACGCCTTTACTACGGGCAGGGGATGGGATCGTTGGGTGCACGGCACTTGCAATACCAGAGGTCATCGCCTGTTCTGTGCGGTCTCCCTAACGCGGTGGTTGGGACAGCAGGCACGTTTCCTTGAGCCACTCAGCAGGCTAAACGGGCGCACTGCAGTCAATCGTTCGGCAGCTCGCATGTGGTGGTGGGGTAAAGTGTGAGTATGCCCACCTCTTGAAAGACAGCGTAGAAGAGTAGGCCAAATACGACATAGAGGGGCTCTCTGGAGCTCCCTCTTGCGGGGAGTCCCTTCTGCTAGCAGTGCTGCAAGTAAAAATAATTGCAGGTTGCAGGGCTTCACCTTTATATTTTATATTTTATTGTTTCGTATGATGAAATGTGGGGGGGGGGGGGGGGGGGGGGTTTCAGATAAAATTACCATTGAGTGCCCGCTGCAGATGATTTAACTTTCTTTACAAAGAGAGCTTTGGAGGAAGTCGCTGGCTTTTAAAGTCAGCACTTAAGTTTCCCTTCATCGAAAGGCGAGTCAAATCTGGCGTTGTCCAGCTGCTGTTGTTTATTTGGCTCTGTTGTAACTGCACGGTACCGAGGACGAGGTGTGAGTTAATGGGGCGAAAACTTTGGCCGCTAAGGTGAGCTCTGGCCCTTGTGAAATCCTTTGGCTTTACCTTCAGCTTTGCGGTTGTTCAACATCGAGGCTTCTTGGAGATCGCAAAGCATAATAAAAAATATATACTGTATCTCAGCAGCAGATTCCTTTTAAATAAGTCTGCAAACCTATTTTATATATAGCAATTAATAAGCAGGCAATAGGTCTTGTTAAAATATTCATCTTTCCACGTAAAATATTAAAGTATTTCGTACAAAACCGATCGGCTAGACCTGCCTTATGGGAATGCATCATTTCAACAGTATTGTAACAGAACAAGACAACTCTGGAGCAGCTTTGACATATATTGTCTCATCAGCAGTCAGGCTTGCTTGAATCAATTGATGGTGAACTGCCAGTAGTTACGTACCTTAGATTTAGCTCATCACGGTGTTATTGATCATTTGGCATGCGACGATTAGCTCCCTCCCCTCACAATACGATTAATTGTCGTGATTCTGAGTTGCAGTGCAATTCTAAGATCAGTGTTAATATCGTGGTGAATGTAGCGCCTGTTTTGTCTGCAGGGGTTACCTGAACAAATACAGTTTATACATTTTAAAAGTGATGAATTCTTCTCTGCACAGTTAAATGAATATATCTCGAAGGTAAGAATCCATTTTAATTGGCGCATTGTAGCATTTCTTCGATCTCCCATCATCCCCAGTGGTAATCACACTACTTTATTAACAGCCTCAGAAACAATGACTAACTTTAAATAACCAGTTGTTTTTTTTATTGTATGTTATTCCACGCAAATTGCGGCATTAACTATGTTACTATATTACTATTTAGAATTCTGTTTTATTTTCATAACAAAATGCATTTTAAAAAATATATTTTTTAAATGTACTTACATATTCAGTATTGAAATATTTACTTTCACGAGTAACAAGATTATCTTACAAGAGTATCTTCACATTCCATTGCATCCCGTCCTTTCTCTCCCTCTCTGGATGCAGTCGTGTAGAGTTCTAGATGCGATTCGTGAACAACAAGTTCGTGAATAGCAAGGGGATATTGTATTCAGACTACAACAGCAGTTTATCATAATGTGTGTATGTTGAACATCTTTCGCACCTTACTATTAAGCAACATATAATATGCGTGCATGTTACAGTTGATAATCGATTATCCAGCGCATGATTATCTGGCTGATCGGTGAAACCGGCAAAACAGCTCCAAAGGATGTAACCAGTCCGGCGATCGGCACGATGTGCATAACAAGAAAAGTAGCTATGCTTGATTTCAGTGTTAAATATTATAAACGGTACATTATACACTGCATCCAACTTAACAATGAAAATACTGCACGTATATACATCACCCCATGCATAGTCTTCGAGATCGGAGTGGTAAGTACGGTAAACAGTAAATATAGTAACTTTTAAAATTACGATATCTTTTTAATTGATGGCAATTTCACATAGAAAACACATTTCAAAACAGAAAACAACACCCAAAAACATGTTATGCAAGAATGCAAAAATAAGCTATTTTAAATAATGATGTGATTATTTGGCTTTTTGAAAATGCGGCTCCCCCCCCCAAAGTTGCCGGATAATTATCGATTATCTGCTGTATATTTTGCTTCATGGTAGTATAATAGTATGAGGACGTCTGTTAACAAATCGGGTGCATCAGGTTCAGAACTGCTTGTTGTGAGCCGATCTGACTTGGTCCTCGCTGTACAGATCCGGTCTGCACGACTTACAGGAAATCCCCATCTGCAAACCAACACACTTGTGCATTTAGTTTTTTTGCCCTGTTTGGTGGAAACTGCTCTTGGCAGGCACCTGCTCTGTCCGGCATGACTCACAGGCGAAGGGGTGAGGTCAGCGCCATCGCGGTTAACGTTGCTAATGTTTGCACAGTAAGTTGGGCTGAGTCAACCTCGATGATTTCGGGTCAAGTTCAGATCGCCAAATATTATCAGGTTTCGTACACGTGAAACGTGGACAAGATGATGTAAAGCCTCTTCGCATATTTCAATTCGTCAAAAATATTTTAACCTTAAAGCAAAATGTCGTAGCTGCTTTTACCCGCTGTCTCTCGCAGTCGCCGTCAGTTTTTGGAATTCCACATGTCGAAGAGGTGTGGGTGTGTGTGTGTGAGAGATTAGCCTTTGACTTCCTAAATAACAAACATGCACCTGTCAAATCAAGGGGGGGGGGGTATTAAGGCTGCTGAGGTAACGGGCCTCTGATCCCAGGGACCAGTTGTTGATGATTGCCACGGCTTTCAGGGTTTACCATATGGTTGCTTGCCACTTACACTACACGAGTAGTCCGTCGCTGTGCACTGCGGGGAGCGGTAGTGTAGCGGTTCGCGCGCCGCGCTACCAACCCAGCAACCCGAGTTCGATTCCCGCTGACGGCCAACACCAGTGACGAGTATCTGAACCGGTCCTGGGCATCCCCTAGGTTGACTCAGCCTCAAATGAGTACCTGGTGTAATGTGTAAACATCGCCACTAGCGAGACAAAGGCGCGGCCGGACGTTGTGCTGGCCACTCACCCCCTCGTGTGCTGTTCTGGCCTTCATCGGTGCTCGCTAACAGCACTTGCCCCAACAGTCTGTTAAGGCTATATGGGAGTCTTTGTCTTTGCATTGGGGAAAATCGCTCAATAAAATCTGAATATTTACCTAAATTCGTCTACCAAGATGATCACGAACCAGTATGGAAATGAACAAAGGTTTTTTTTTAAATGGGCTGCTCAAATAAAACCTTAACGAATTGTTCACTTGAGCAGACAAATGAAGCAGTCTCAAGCAATTGCTGGCTTTTCGTTTAAGAGGCATTTAATACACCGAAGAATGATGTTTGAATCGAGGAATGAGATTGACTGCCAAATGGCAGCAGCAGCCTCTGATGCATGACCTTTTCAAGCTGTGAATGTTCACGATAAGAAGTGGGCCTTAGTGCTGTTGGGTCTGATCATTCCTTCATAAAATGAGCATCTGGTCATGTTCACTTGAAGGGCCGTTACATTTAATTCTCTCGATTAATAATTAGAGGGCATACTTTACTGTTCTAAAGGTACTGACGTTATTTGATTGCAGAGCATTATTATACTGTACGTTAGTGCACCATTGAGTGCAGTTTTATACGCCTGATTTTACAAAGGGCTATCAGATTTAATATCTCATCTCCACCGAGCATTTAAGATGCAAGATTAAACATTATTTCGTATAACTCAATGCCGTTTAGCATGCTAAATATATGTAGAACTTTAAACGACAGCTTCATTACTCTGCCACATGATCACGTTAAGATACTTGCACTTGTTGAACATAGTAAGTCTTGAACAACAACATTGACAGTCAAATAAAAAACAAGTACAGAGTAAAACTTGATTTTTTTCTTACAAATTGAATCGTAATCTTTATCCGCAAACACGGTGCAATGTATCACGCAGATAGCATCATCCATATGCAGCTCAAAGCAAATATTTATATCTTGATATTGCAGAAATGCAATGTAAATGTAAACCCAACTTGTATGGCAGC